TTCCCTACCTTTCCTTCATGTGCTGATATCCTCTTCTACAAAGTACAGCACACTCACAGGGACCAGGTTTAAGACAGAATTTGGTTCAGAATTCAGGACTCCAACCACTTGCTACACCATGCTAATAAAAGTTTAGCATCTGACTTTTCCTAGTGAAATAGCAGGCAAGTAATACAAATTCACAAATATTAAGTTCCCATACCTGAACAACTGTAATGTTGTCGCTTCATAGCAATTTTATTTCCTCGACATAAAAACCTCTTTTAGCAACTTTTCTGATGTTAAGAAATAAGCATATAAGTAGGTATAACAAAAACACTGTGCTTATTATCTGTCACAGTAAAAATTCTTCCATATGATCACATATAAAAAGAGATGAACTCAACTAAAAAAATTTGCTCAGATCATGTCTGTCACCAGAGGCCTACTGTACTAGAGTATCAATTCAGCAGCTATCTCAAAGGAGTGACTGACAGACTTCTAACAAATAAGGGGTTTTTTTCCCTAATTAGTAATTTGTATGTCATTTAGAGTCATGGTAAAGGACTCAAATAGCTGCCATAAAAACAAAATTTAACAGGACTAGTGTGGTACATTCCCAGATGCCCTCCTGCATTTATATCCTACTTCCTTTATTAAGATCTATGGCACTAACAAAAAAAAAAAGTTAAAAGAAAAAAAACACTAAAAGACAAAAAAAGCCATGAAAAGGACAGGGTGGGAAAGACATCAACATCAAAGTACTTGAGAAAGAGTATAATTAGTCAGCAGAAGAATCAATGGTAGAACTACTTCACTGCTTATCTTATATACCCCTGTCGGTCCCCACACACCCCGTGCTGGGTCACTTGTGACTCTACACGTACGTATTATGAACCAAATTAACCCCAAATTGCTGAGGATGTAAAATCATACCCCTCTTCACACCACACAAGGCTGCGCAGGCCACAGGGAGGCCCAGATCCCCCTGCCAGGCCGGCAGACCTCTGCTTCGTCTCAGTTTCCAACTAGGGCAGGCAGACAGCAGCTCCCCGCTCCCAGCAGG